GTAAACATGATTATACATATTGTGGAGGATTTCATATCTATAAATAAAAAAATTCGACGAAAAACTGTTTAAATTTTATGCAGAAGCTTCAACTGAAGATAATGACAGTTGAAATAGATCAATGGTCAAAAGAAGTTAGAGAATTGTTAACGCAAATATCAATGCCGTTAGGTAACATGGGCAAACAACTTTCACCCTTTGGACAATTGAAAAATTTTCAGAAACATTCAAACATTTCAATAATAAAACAAGTTAATTTCCTTATATGTATTTGCACTGATTGATCAATTAATGCGTTCGAGATTAATTTCCTACCTTTTTTGTACTAGAAATTAATTAATATTTGTCTGCTGCCTTTAATAAACTGATATACATTTATTAAACTGTTTTAAAATGAAAATCGTCCAACATATTGTTGAATACAAAAAATCACTTAATCCAGTAGGAAATTATTCAATGGACAAACAATCAACTTTATTAAGTAAGTAAGGCACTTTTCTTTGAGTGTAGGTAAAATGAAAACATTTCTCCGTTTGTAAAAGTTTTTCAAAGATTCTCAATCTGCACCCTCATACCTCGATTTATTGTTAATTTCTTTAAAAAATTGTTGATCTGATCATCTAATGCTTACATTTGTAGACAAACTTTTAATAAAGGCAGTTTCCAAAAATGTTTAAAATAACACGGCTCTTCTAGATAGAAAAGGGCAAACCCTTTTTTTGAATTTTAGATTTATTGTACAAAACCACAAAATTTTTTAAGTTTTCAGATCTATGCACATAATTGCAATATTTTATCTCAAAATGGCACCATGACTTGCAGAGTTAAACCTTCTGTTGATTTCTCAAAGATTCTTTAGAGGTTCTAACGTTTTTAGAATGGATGAAAGTAATATTCAATAAAATATTTTCTGCCCTCGTTACAAAAATGTAAGTCTTTACAGAGTCAAAGTTATGTGAGCAAATTATTCAAGTATCGAAAAGTTGCGTCTCGATTAAATAAAAAAATAGAGAATATTTGAAAAGAGTTTAGAAATAGATATTTTCCTAATTTAAATTATCAGCAATATGGGCTAAGCATACAGATGCAAGAAGGGTTAACAATCATAAGAGCAGCTCAGACAAAGAGCCATGAGCAATGAAAGAAATAATTGAAATGGGCCAAAGAAAGTAGACGATTAATTATTAATTAAAAATGGCATTTGCTATTATTATTAATTGCTGTATTTTGTTTTCGATCTTTTTTTTACTTTTAATTTTTCGCCGCTGTTCCTGCACGAAAAGCATAAAAGATAAGTTATAGTTCCATAAGAGTGTGAGTAGACATGCAACTTGAACAGCGTAAATAATTACTATTAAAAAAGAAAATTAAGAAAAGAGTAATGAAAAAGAAATATTACTGTTATGAAGTCAAAATAAACGACCTAAACAATTAAAAGTTTTAATTCAAAATTCATGTGTGTGTACTTCAAGCCAATATCCAAAGTAAGTTGTAGAGACTCTTTATGTAAGATTCTCAAGCACACTAATTGGAGTAGAGGCCTGAAACAAACAATGAATGAAAGAAAAAGTTAACAAAGAGCAGAAAAGAGTTGTTAACTGTAGGAAGCTCCACCATACAGTAGCACTAAGCTGTTGCCTGCTAAAGTAGTAAAGAAAAATGTGAGTAAATAAAAAGTAAAAGTAATGAGAGAAGGCTGACTTGTCTCGGTATGTTTTTTTGAGACTCGCAGATACATAAAGTCAAAATTATTGAAAACAAAAATCTAAATTGAGGGCGCCCCCCTTATCCCATCACAAACAGGTTAGGGAAGGATGTGGCTACGCAGTGTTAGGTAAGTAGCGCAGCATTGCGATTCGGCCAAATATATTAATTAAACAAAAAACTCTCACCGTTGCTTTTTTTGGGTGACCTCGAGGCTTCACAATTTTACACAATTCGGAACACTTTTCATTACACTATCGGTTATGGGAAGAAGGAGCGGAGGATTACAAGGGCAGGTCGACAATATCCACAAAACATTTTTGTTCAGACAAAGACTCAAACAGACAGATGTGTAGTAGGTGTTGATCGGAAATACTTAAGAGCAATATTGTTATGTGAAATGTCGAACACCAAATCTGCACCTAAAGAGAACGACATGAACTATCAGACAAACAAACAACACAGAATTGTTGAAATATTGAGAAATTTTTAGTTTTTGTATTTTTGCGACCCGATTATTCAGAATTTTTGCTGATGAAAAATGTTTCTACTGGATATTGCGCCATTAAAACAGCACACCACCAGCAAGTTTCCAAATTTAAACATTTTATTTTTTATCCAATTATTACAAAATAATAATCGAATCTTATGTAAAACGAAATATAAATATATTAAATTACTCTAAATTATAAATCTATATAAATAAGTTAAACAAAAAAAAGAGTTAATAAACGGTGGATGGATGGAAAAAAGGTGACGACGCACATTCTGATGTTGTTTTTGGGGTGGTCGCCTCAATCCTTGGTCGATCCAAACAATTAGTTACTGCCTAGTAGTAGACAAAAAGAGCAAATCATGCTTTGGAACATACATTTTGGCATCGGCTTATTGCAAGCTTAACACATCTGAATATTAGGCTTTGAAAGCAACAGTCTCCAATTTCCAAATTCATCCCCAAAATCAGAATTAATCGAAAATTTTGATTTTTTTCACGTATTCCCAAATTGCAGACTTTGTTTGATTATTTGCCGGAGTAAAAATAGTTGAGTTAGTGACATTAAATGTTAAGTAAAAACTTTTTATATGGAAAACCACTGTTGCGTTCGATCTTCAAAAAGGAATATATACAACAAAGCATTCAGAGGTGTTAGCTTGCGATATTGAGGCAGAAAATTACAGGACTAAGAAAAGGAAGCCCTCAATTAAAGATTTGCTGGAAATTTACCGATCACCAAACCTTCTACCGACACATTGTGATACAGATGAAAACGGTATACAAGAGACAAATTAACAAACCACATTCTCGAAGTTTGTTAGGTGAGTGTAGGTGGTTTCAATGGGATTTTGTGGTGTGTAGACCGTTTTTTTTTCTGAATGGGTATAGACACTTACCCTTGGAGATGGGATCCAGTGTCCATACTGAGACATCCAGCACCGCCACCGAAACCGTAACCTTTAGGTCCGTATTTGCGGGCGTGGCAGTTCTTGCAGTAAAGCTCAGCCTCGTGTTCAGTTACGTTGGTGGAGTCCAACATTTTTCCACAAAGGCCTGAAATTACCACAATTTTATTAGATTTCAATAAGGAAATTTTGATGGGAAAGTGCAATAATTGTATGTACATTCTTTAATGGAAACTGGAAAAGGATCCAATAAGTTAAAATTCATGTTCAATATACTGTTGCTTGATTAAGCAAAAATCTCCAGCTTTATAAAAGCCCATGTTTGCTTTAAGCTTGCGGAAAACTTTGTCGACGTTCCAACGTAGGCGGTTAAGGCCTGGTTTATTTTCAGAGCACTATTTATATCCGCGCTGGAAAACAGGATTCGTAATCCTAATAACCGGCATATTTTTGGAAAGCGTTTTTTTCGCGATTGCATAACTTGAAGTGTCTCGTTTGGCCGGCTCGACAACCCGATTTACCATCGCGTGAATTGCGTGGAACGTTGATGACTTACCGCATTTAAAGCAGGATTTGTGGAATTTGTATCCTCCAGCTACACGTTCTTCGGCAGCGTAGACGGATTTCTCGCATTTGGGGCATTTTGGGTGTTCTACTGGCTTGAAAGGCATTTTGATGAATTATTTAGTCGACCTGCAAAAAATAGATTTGTTAAATACACATTTTCAACAGCAAACACATAAGGAGAATTTCGTTGGAGGTTTAATGTTTTAAATATTTTGACCAGTTTTTGAGTCACAGAAAATTTACAGTTCTGGTTTATGGTTCGTAATCTTTAAGATTTGAAATGATGAAGAAATGTCTTCCAAAGATTAGCTCACAGGCTGTTCGTTTTTTAATGTTTAAGCAATTAATGATTTGATTTTCTGTTATAAGTTTTTACGACATATTTTAAAAAGGCTTTTGTGTGGATGAAATTGAGATTTTAAATTACAAAGGAAGCAGAGTATCTCGCAACATTTGAATAAAATTGGTAGCTTAGTAATTTTAGGTATTAAACGGTGAACCAACATGAAATAGAGCTTTTTAGTGTAAAAATGAATACTAAATGTAAATTCTGTGCTTTCTCACTTGCCGCACTTTAGTTGAGAACCTAACTGCGAAAAATTTAAGTGAACTTAAATATTAAAGCAATAGAAGCTTTGTGATACTCAATTCAACTGATCTTCCGCTGCTAATCGTCGGGTTAATATTCCGGTAACATATTTACCCTGGTAGATAAGATTTAAAATCACTGTTAGATGCAACCGGCGTTTTTCAAATGTGTTGCAATTTTCGAGGTTTTATTGCCAACCTCTGTTTATTTAGTCAGATTACGAAGCAAGAGAGATAAGCAAAGACAAGACAATGTTTAAAGTAGAACTCCTTGATGGTTCAACAAAGTTTTAAAACTGAAAGCGCAAAATCATCTTTAAACTATCAGACGTTAAGTGGCTTGTTCCTGCAGAAAAATGCAGAAGCGCTGAGTTTCTCACTGTAAGAAAAATCTTAGTTGCAAATATCGAAATTGATCATGATGATGAAGTACATGGAATAAAATATAAATATTCCCCATATTTTCTGACAAGGGATGTTAAGTTCACGAAACTCGAACAAGTCGATGATGGTCCACCAACACTCCAAATATTCCGACTTTTGTAACGAAAAACTGCTTGAAAGTGTACTGAGGAAGTATTTGGGATCCATCTGCAGAAAATCCAGCAACAAATCTCAAAACAATCTTGTTCCAAAATTTTGGCATGAGTAATTGTAAATATTAACATCACTGACTCAGCATAATATCGATAAATAACAAATCTACCACACAATTCCATTTGCTTTGCCTACAAACCGTGTTTAAAAAATTATCTAATCTTCAAAAGTCAACAACAAAAAAAGGAGGAAGTAATTTACTTATGGCTCATTCTTAAAGTATTAAGTGCGGATGCTTATTTGAATTGTCTTAACTAATCTCCATCATCAAATAACCATGGGCAAAAATGCTCTCGCAATCTAGTGGATGGAAGAAAGAAAAAAAAGACGAAAAACTGCAAATGATATATAAAAAATGAAGTCGAAAACGAGTGAAGCAAATTTTGGAATACCTAAGTTCCAACGGGAAAATTTCGCTTTGGAATAAATTGTATAACGTTAATGCATATGAAAAAGAATGCGCTGATCCCTTAGTAGGCCATCTGGCTAATCGCCAACTAGCCGAAGGTAAACACAGAAATCCAAAAATAGGATTCAGTCTGGAACTGTGCCAGCCAACTTCCTAAGCATTCAGGTGACCAAATATGGATTCAAGCACAAGTGATATTCTTACTGTTAAACTGAACTGAGAATCGACACACTGACACCAACTATATGCGACACAAGATTTCTAACTCCTTCGAATGGCAAAACACCTGTTTTTTAAACACTATTAACACTAAAATTGTTGTAAATTCGTACCTGGTCGGATCGTAAAACTAAGTGGTCTAGGAGATATCCTCTTAGAAACAACCACCGTATTCGAATGCAAGGGAAGCAGGCAGATCCAGCCTAGTCTATGGATGATTTGCACACGGAACCAAATCGAGAAGGTAGGGAGGCCTTTCGACTCATTGCAGTCATCTGCAAAGAGAACACACGGGCTATTTTCGTAAAACGAGAGTTGGTTGGCGGAATTTTGGTGAAATCTGCACCTTTTTCAGAAATTGGATATCGCCTTACCTGGATGTTAGCGACCCGACCGGCTGCCATTAAAGAAGTTCTTTCTTTTGATCTAATTTTGATTTTCCGCATTAAAGCGATAAAAATACACCTGACATACATTTAGTTTCCCGGCTAGAATAACTCTAGTAAACAGCTCGTCAAAGAGTAAACCTGCAAATATTCTTTTTCCACATATTATTTTACAATTTTACTTCATTGTATTTGCTTTAATCATTTGCATCAACACAAAAACTATCCCTAAAAATGGTTAAATCAGGTAAGTGCAATAAACAATGAACACTTGATTTATTGCCGGAAAGGAACTCAAAAATGTATTATCTGGATGTATATCTGGATAGTATCTGGATGTATAGTATGTATTATCTGGAGGTCAGTGTATCTAGATCTATTTCTATATTGGCAGCACTACTGCTCCAGTTTTTACGAAATCAACAAAAATCTAACATAAATATGAAATACATAGATAAAAATATAGTTCAAGTTCAACCAGATGCCAGATCAAATTATCGCTTTATTTCTTTTTCGGCAAAGTAATGTTAAACCAAAGTAACATTTTCTCGATTGGATTTATTTACTATTAACAGTATTAAAAAATTTTGTCAAATGCCACCAAATCAATAATTTTGAATTGACAATATCGATAACCATTTCAATTTGTTTCTTTTATCACTTTAATTGTTGATTTGTGGTCATTATTTTCTTAATCATTCAGCTCGTTTATCACTATTATTTACTATATATAGTAAGTCTAGGAGCTTTCTTTGTCCGAAGAGGTTTGATGTGGGTTTCGACCGTTACTAACTTTTGTGCGAGTGCTTGCGTTTTTTTTCTCGCAAATATTATTTAGAGTTTATTTTATGAAAATTTTCCATGAATTTTTTAGCAAAAATATAAAATTTTAATTAACTGTGTCAATCTTATAATAATAGAGGTACGAAGTCATTCGAATCATAGTTTATAAGAAAAAATGTTATTTTTTAAATGTAGTTTAGTTTCCAATAATAACTGATTAATATTTTTATTTTATTTTCATTGGCTTCTACTTATTCTTTCCAATTTTTACGAATCACAAATCTAATTGTTTTCGAAAATTGAGAAATTAAAATTCTCAACAAAACAAAATACATTTTTTTGGAGTTCGTATGTTTTCAAGTAATTTTTGAAGCAGCAACAATAATAGTCATTTCAATCTTTAAAAATGTTCCTTTTTGGCACAAAGACACAATTAGATTCGAAAAATGTATTGAAGTTAAGGAAAATTTTAATTTGAGAACAATATGATCGTTTCTCACATAACTTAATATGAAAATGTGGAGATTTAAAAATATAAGAATTTTTTTCCAGTTTTTTTAGTATTTCAAATATTATCTGTTTTCTGGCGGTTCGATACCAACCCACATATAATTGTTTTCTAACTTGTAATTGGCAAAATTGGCAAAGTTATACAATATTTATGTAAAATTATTGCATAAAGTATTATTAAAGTGAAAAGAACGCGCAAATTCAGGAAAACTGAACAGTTTAGACAACCATAAACTTTATTCGTTTTGCGTATTTTTTAAAATTTACTAATTTATATCTATGTGATTTTGGAGTCACCTTAGAAAAAAAATTTCGTTATAGTTTGATTATTAGTTTTTTTATTTTTCTTGAAAAATAACGTAAATTTGTCAAAGTGCAGGTGGATTTACATCTATTAAAATCTTGTATAAACCGAAGCTCAAAATATTGCATACAACCGGTTACTCATGAAATGGAATAATATTTATTTGAAACCTAGAGCTAATGAAAAGGTTAGGCTCATTAAACATTTGGACGGGCAGGTACTGAATCTTGTCCAAAAACTTATTAAAATCCATCTAACATTGAATTTGAAAATAATGAACATTCCATTGGCACTAAGATATAAAAGTAATATCAAGATAGTCCTCATTTTCGAAAGTTTTACATGATTGTAAAACGCAGCTTCACAATGTTTTCACTCGTTTTTTTCTCTTTACTGATTCCAGATTATTTCAATTTTGTTTTCTGCATTGACTAATAATAAATCTGCTTTTATGTATTTAAAATTAATTGATGATAATCTCAATTTAGAAAGTGAATCACTTCGTTTTTTATGGCTTCATCGTATTCGCCCATGCGATCTTCTCATCTGGCACAGTGTACGAAAACTATAGGGAATATTTTGATTTTTTCCAGTGGCGTAGCAAAGCAACTAAGCTTAAATATTTACTAGCTGATTATTGATTTTGGCAAATCTGGGATGGAAAATACTTTAATTGGGAAACTATTTGAAAGAAGTTGATTTGTCGTCTTCGTTTTGATTATATGTATACATTTTGAAAATAATTTTTGCAAACTGGACAGGCAAAATATTTAGTTTTTCAAGTAAAACTCGTCTCTCTCTAAGAGTATTAGAGTATTAGTAAAAGATGAATACTGATTTAAATAATAAACCAGGCAGAGTTAGAAACCAGAACACAAAGCGAAGATTGGCCAACCCTTTGATTTTTCATTTGTCGCCTCAATGAGCTGTAATCGGGGATTGTTGGTTCAAATATTTCAAAAATAAATTCAATACAGTGTTAGCAACTTATTAACAAAAATGATAATAAAAATTTACAAAAATTATAATAATTTAAAATTATATCTCGACATTTGTTGGATCACAGTCGTCCTTATACCTTCCTTGAAAATTTTGCTAAAGAATTGAGAAAAAAAAAAAAGAAAAAAGAAAAATTGAGAAAACCGAACTATTCTTAAAAAATTAAACATTTCATATATTTTTAAAGAATCTGTCGCCAATGATTATTTAAATCAACGTGCGTTCCATGAAGTGTACAACATACTAAATGAGGCAGAACGCATCAGTGTGTAATTTTCCATTTTCAGGTGAGTTTCCAGAGTTTTGAGCGGAAAACCAACACATTTTGTTAGGTATTTTGACCACAATATTTATCCCATTTATCAAAACCGCACCACTACTAAATTTCCTGCCTCTAATGAAGAGTACGTAAATTATTAAAATTAACGCTGAATTTTTGCTGTTTGCTTGCTGGCAATTAGACAACGAGTTCGAAAACTAGCAGACTGAAGCCAATTTGAAATTGTTTTGGCATTGAATTTACAATTTGAGGTGCACACCTTAGACATTTCTGTGGCATGTAACCAGAATCTAACTCATTTATTAACGGTTCAAGTAATTTTTCGCCTTTTTGACTCAAATGCCTCGGCGTTTTGCTATAAGGCCGCCGCTGGAGTAACAAGATTGTTAATTTTAGCTAGTGAATAATTTTGGCTTTGCTAAACGATACGCTTGAATCTGTGTGAAAAGTGATTCAGAGAAAAACTATTGGACGACCAACTTAGCTCAAGCAGTTTACGTGGGCTGGAAAACAACTTTACCGCGATTTTTCACGAACATCTTTGACAGACCGTATCGCAAAGTCTGTTTTATTTTTCACAAATTCGCATTGGTCCTATGAGATTGGCCAAACGCGAATGATTAATGTCTGATGACGTTTTGAGATGGCTTTTTAATGAGGATGGTATGCCTTACCAAATATTTGTCACATGAGCTATTTTAGTCATTAATTACATTTTTCTGATAGTTTCTTTGTGAGATTATTCAAATGTTCAACTGGTAATACGGGGCAGAGTGTTAAATTTCAGAGGGTCAAAAATGTTTGAAAGTGTCTATAATCAAGAATTTATGTAGATTTGTGGTTTGCGGTGAACGCATTTGAAGAATTAGGAAAGTTTTGGAAGCTGGGCACTGGTGAACGAGAATTTTTAAATCAAATTAAAAAAACATGTTTGATTTTTTGAATCACTCCAGAATAAACACTGCGATTCAATCAAAAAACCGTTACGATGGGCAGCAAAACGGCCAAATGAATCGCTAAAAAATAAGTAAGAATTCGCAGTCAACTAATTATAAAATCATGTTGGCATAAGGTGCACGAAAATTGTAATTTCCATGGAATGGAAACTAAAAAGTGAGTCTTCCTCGAAGGTTTTCGGCTTCTTCCAGGGTCTTCTGTCTTTAATTACTACTATAATAGTTGGAAGCATGAATAATGTGTATATTTTCCTGACAGTATTTCAACTTATTTCAAACGAAATTCCTGGGTTCCAGTCAATTTTATTGTTTACCATTTAAATGTCACAAAAACATTTGAACTGATGATTGAACACCCAAACTGATGATGGTGGAGAAAAACACCGAAACGTTTTTGTGACATTTTAAATGGTAAGCAATAAAATTGACTGGAACCCAGAAATTTCTTTTGAATTAAGCATGAATAATAAATCGCCTTTTTCCAGCAGTTACAGTTTCTAAGTAATATCTTTTGCTGCTTTCTGGTGTGCTAATAGTATCGACAAACATGACGGTGTCATCTGCGTATCGAATGTTGCTAATTATGGCCCGTTTAAACATAGGCCTCCGTCTAAGAATTTCTATCGTGGATCTAGTATTTCATTCAGTCTTTAAAACTTTACTTAACTTTATTGCCTAAGCTTTTGTCTAACATTTTCAAAGACATCAAGGAGAATGAACACCATCAACAAAAGAATAAAATAATATTAAACATTTTGTTTGATTATTTACTAAAAGAAATAAAATTCAGGAACCCACAACATTATCAGAAGAAGAATATATGTATACTATATCTGACTTATTTTTATGCCGAAATAGTATTTAAAGTATAACACATATGGCGCATGAAAGATCAGGTTATAATTTTGTTTCAGGTCCATTCTTATTCAGCAAATTTTGCACAAAACAACGAAAATCAGTATATCGTGAATAAATATATGTCATCACATAAAAATCTAAACAATACTTTATAAGAACCTTAAAGAATCCGTAGTAAATTGGAGTACATGTTTGTTCAAAAAATCTTGAAAACGCTCAACCTATGGAAAGAAGAATAATTAATTGCAGTAATATTCAATTGCAGTAAAAGTGCATAGGAAATGTTAAATGAGTTTTCTTCTAAAGATAAATTTCAAGGGTTGTATAGCATCTGTATATGAAAATTGATGACCTTTCTGAGTAGTACTCAACCATTCACTAACCATATCACCTAATATGGGTAGCTATTATTAACTAGAGATAAGTATAAAAATAATACCCGTTTCAATGAATCACGTAAGAAATTATTAATTATAGTAAGTTATGTTCGATGGCTGTCCCCAAGAGAATGTTATATTATCTGTTACTGCGCTCATTTATACAATACGCTCTATCAACCCGTAAACAATTAAATTAATTCATCAGATTTAACCAACCAAAATCTGGCGAATTCGATAATTTGCTGTCGTCATCGGTTATTAGTTTGGTTTGATATTTTTAAAATACTGACTCAAATTGTATGGAGGAATGCTCAAATAGGCGACCTAATTCAGTTGAAGTTAGCCAACTCGACTCGGCGTGGCATACGTAAATAGACAAGACAATCCGTGCCAAAATCTGATATTATTCATATTTCAATTTGTGGTCTATAAAAAGATGCGACTCGAATTAATATTTTCAACTGTACACATTTTTATTATAGAATTCTAAATATAATCGAAAACGATCATTAATTGATGTCGCAATTTCAAGGTTCAATTGCCGATTAGGAATGCTTTGGTGTCGCATTTTTGCAGATTTGTTTTCTAAAGCCAAGACAGAAAGTACAATTTTCATGTGACACAATTGCCATATTAACAATTTTTCAATTTTGGATTTTAAATAAATTAGTTTTTGAAGCGGAAATTGCGATTGGAAAAAAATCGGAAATTATATAAAAACAGTATTCCAATTTTTGCCCACTCGCAAATCCCGCTTTACAGGCTTATTTACTTAAAAGCCAAACTTTTTTGAATTTTTAAAACCGCCCAAGAAGTTATTTAGAATTGCAAAATTGTTATTATAGCAATTGTATCTGATGGTTTAAGGATCTAAGAAGGTGTAAAAGCGCGGGTGCAATAAAATATTCATAACTTTGAGCCTGGCACAAAATGAAAAGAAAGGTCTTTTTTTCAGGTAAGTTATTTAACAATTGCATTATGCAAAAACTGTCCGACCGGTCTTAATCGGCCTTACGGCTCTCGTTTTATGGCGTGATTGAGTTCGATTTTTTCATTGTTAAATAAATAATTTAAAATTACCGATTTTTTTGCATACCTTTTTCGCACATTCGAGCATTTCGCAGCAAACGTTTCAAACCGACGGATATCGGACCCACTCTATCGTGTAGAAAATTTCATAACGAACAAATTTACAAGCAAACATTTTTCCTCTAAAATGCATACTTTCCGAATTACATGCGACTGTTTCCGGGAAAAACCAAGAATTTCACATTTGTTTTTCACTTTTTTGTTGTTTATGCAAATAGCCCATCTCTTCGTCATCAATTATCTAAGTCACGTTAGAGCCATCTTTTTTCGTTGCAATTCTCCTGACCTATTATTCACAACCATATTTTCTAAGTAAGTAAATTTGATTAAATCGGATAATAAATTTTGGACGAGCTTATTAAGTTTTCATTCTTCTTTCATTTTTCTTCTATCAATTCCAACATCGTTTGGCAGAATGAAAAAAAGTTTGGCAACATAATTCGAGTTTAGAATCGCAATGGACAAACTAGAAGTTTGATAGTGTTGTTTTAGCATTGTCTACGTGAGTACAATTTTGCAAAATTGCAAATAATAGACTTTTAAAAGAAGGCAAAACTTAATAAAAATATTCACTTTTACTGGGATCGCTATAAATGTACAAGGTCTCCCCTTGTATTTTACTCCTAGAAACTGCATAACACATAAAAAATCGCGATTTAGTTTGATTAAGATGAAAGGAAATCCCGACTCTAACAGTGACTAGTTATTGCAGATTCATAAAAAGTGTTTTTCCAAGAGAAGGTTTTAAAATAGCAATCAATACATTATGCATCATAAGAAGTGACAAAAGCTTATACATTATTCAGGTATTTATGAAACTCGTCTGAAAACGGTTCGTGTCATTCATTGCAACGAATTTACCTGATTAAGGAATTCAAAAATTAAAATAATGTACATTTTCTGCTTAATAACACTTACTCCACTAATGGAGTGTTAATCAGGTTCGGTCTAGTTTCCCCGTTTAACTTCGTGTGGTTTCCGATGTTCTAGCATGAGTAATATATTGATTAATATGTATTTAAGAATGGCTGGGAAAAGTATTCGAGTTGATTTTCCAGTGATTTGTTAACTCATTTATCATGGTCCTGTCCCATTGCAATCGAAACTTCCAGTTTGCTGAAATCATCATTTAAAATGTAGTAAACGTGTATTGAAAAAAGTACATAACGAATCCTTTACTCATTAGTTGTGGTATATGGATTGTTCATATTAACCGCAGAACTCTTAAAGTCATTAATTCTTTTCGCACGTTTAAAGCAGATAAACCATTTTTTTCCGACGTCTGGAAGAATTTCGCACATTACATTTTTCAAATATCAAACGATTTAAGTTTGTAGTGGATTGTAATAAACGTTCAAGAACTAGTAAGCTCAGTATATATTCATTCTACCGTAGTGCGAATAATAGATTTATATATTTTATCTTTTTCTTATTTTTTTGCAAACTTTGAAATGCACCCAGAAATACTGACTTTGGCGATCTATCAGAAGCGCAAACCCATCTCTATTTATTTTCTGAAAAACATTGTTTTGGGCGCCGACATAAAATCTGGTTTAAAATTAAAAGCAAAATTAAAAACATTTCTTCTAAACTACTAATATTTGGCATTAAAGAACAAATGGAACAAAACGAACAGAAAGTAACTCGGAAATAAGTTAAACGTTCAAATTATTTAATTTATTTCTCTTAACTGTGAAGCAATTGGAAACAGTATCGAGCATAATAGAAGCTGAAAAGTGCTACATTGACTGCTAAGAATTAGACAACTGCTGATCGGAAAATATCGATTCTGTTTGTATTAAATAATATCATGACGTTTATAACTAAGAAATATTTCTGGTTTCAGTGTCATCCCTCTTTACCTATATTGGCAGGTTTCATGGATTTTTCAACCCCAGGGAGACGTAAGGCGTTAAGTGGGCACATTGAATTTTTAAATTGTGAAACTTACGTAGTTACAGTAGTTGCATTAATATATTTTTATTAGTTTCTTTTTGAGCAAAAATTAACATATACATTACGAAACTGGCCACCTATTAGAAGCGTAAACCCATCCCAATTTATTTTCTGAAAAATATTGTTTTGGCCGCCAACATAATCAAGTTTAAAATTAAAAGTGAAATCATTTAGGCGATATGTTTACGATGATACTAAACTTTGTTTTCAATGCCAAATTGAATAGGGCGTTTTCATTTGGTTACACCTGTTTCGATTGCACTCAAATATAACACATGTTTGTGTTGAAGATTTTGCTGTCAAGAGTAAATAAATGAGTTTAAAATATTATATAAAGTTTTTTTATATAAAATACTTTTATTGTGGCTTATAGTGCTGCTGGGAGTGGGTATTGGCTTCAAAACGATATCAAATAATCGATATGTGGTTGCTTATGTATAGTTGTTTTTAGTTAAAAGAGTTTTTCTTAACGAAAATAGAATATTTCCCAAACTGCTGGATATTGTGTTTTGGCTCCACCTGTGAGACTACAGTTAAGCTTGCGATGTTTGTCGAATTTTGGCAACCAAAGTCCGCTGCACTGTTTAATTCAAACTTTTAGCTTTGGGTTTTGAAAAAACAGGTCTTTGCAGAAACGGAATAGAGATGGTGCTAATAGAGTGTCTCGCTAAGAGTTTTAGTTGGATTTTTGGATGTTTTCTTGTACTTGCTCATGTACAATAATTTAAATTTAAAAGTCACGCGATTAGAACATGCTATTAAATGACTTAATGAAAATAATATTTTTTTAACTGTTTTGTTAAACTATATCTGCTAAAAAAGACAAGAAAAATTCTTTGGAACCGGTTCCCGCAGATGAACTACCCGCACTATTTTAAAGCCATTCAAAAGCAAAAGCAATTACCGAGTTGAAAAATGAAAACTTTTAAAAAATTTGTCATTAACGAAGTACGTAATAGAACGTGTTTTTACATTCCTAAATAACATTTGCAAACGTTTTCCTAGACGGCGTCAAGTTTGAATGAACTCTTTTTCGCAATTAAAATTAAAGTGCATTTAGACCTGGTGATTTTGGTGGCCACTTATCATTGCGTAAGTAGAAGAAGATAAAGAGGAGAGTCGGCATGTTGAAAATGTAGCATATTATTGGTTTTATTGGTGGTCTGCCTGGTTTTCTGGTTGGCGACTAATTACAGGCTCTATCAAAATTTACAATTGAATGTTTCCGCTATAAATGTCGACCCAATAATACGAGCCCAGACATGAAACTTTTTAGGACAGTGGATATAACTAACTCAAGACAGGTTGCTTACATGTCCCGGTTTACTAAGAGTTTTCTGCAAATCTATCACAAAATTTGACTATTCAGTCTGGATCACCATCAGAAAGCTCTTGAACGATTACCCATTTACCATTTTTTAATCGATGTGATTAAAAAAATGTGACAAAAAGTGATGGCGGACACGGATAGAGGTGAGGGCGGATCCTATGGTCAGGCAGTATGAAAAGAAAATCGGTATTAATTTTAAGAACTATAATAAAGAAAACTTCGCTAGAACACTGGAAGATATCCGACAAAGCAGAAAAAGTTTACAAAATTAATCTTACACGTTCAGAAAAAGGGACTAAAAACGAAGAAACATGGCAAACAGTGCATAATTTTACAAGAAGAAGACAAAATTAATAAGAATAAGAAGACGCCTCTTGCTAGGTGCTAAGACGAAGGTAAAGGGCCGCCCGCCTTTACCTCACACATAGGGGTGCCGGCGGACACCCTTTATCTAAAGAAAAACTTGGGGGGAATAAAAATTTTATTTGCTTTATTATGGAATTCGACAGAGGAGACACGGAAGGCTAAATTATTTTATAAATTTTTTATATCCTTTCAAAAGTATACTTTTTATTAATAAAAAACTAAAGAAATCATCCGACTTCACCCCTAACAATGGTATCTCCGATATATACTCATTACTTAGATTTTCTTCCTCAAATATTTCATCAAAGGCTGCAGTTGCTCTACAAATGACGGATTCCCAAAACCATAAATAGATTAATTATTTCAAGATGTTAATAACACTAATGCACAAAGTGCTAAAAGTTGAAGTTGAAAATCATCAATTTTAATTTCTACTTGAATTTTCTCAGTCCAGAAATAAAATGGAAAACCACTAAATTCTAACAAGGCCAAATTGGAACGTTTTTACGTTGCCAGACGATGTTTGGGTGCGTTTTCTATAAATATTAAATAAATCGACACAATTAGTTTAAACGTACTTGTACTGGCGTTCTTTTTTTAAATTTTCTGTTACTTGCTGACATACCAACCAATTTACCTGCAAATTAATTAGATTCATTTATTATAGAACCCTAGTCATTATGCAAATTATTCCGAAAAATTACAGCTTTATTATTTGGGTTTACTAGAAATGGCCAATAATGAACCAGACTGGCTAATTTTACAATAAATTAATTGTAAATCAGAAGCTGAATTTCAAGTGGAATGACTAAGAAGCCCACGAATAGTCAATAAAGTTGAATAGGGAATTAACCTTTATGGGAACGCAATAGCGCGGTTTTCTTCAGCAGTTAAATCCGAAGGAAAAAATGAATCACGTTCATAATGGCATGAATCACTGTCTCAAGAACTCAGAAGTTCTTTGATGTTAACACTGCCTCCTGCGTCTGTTGCAAATCCCTAAACTTGTTCTCTGTTTGCGTCTTTTATTTGTGACCATTTTCATTGAATTTAGTTGCATACTTGTATATTTACTAAGTGTTTTTTCAAAGCCCGATTTAATGTGAATTGATCTTGTGAATTGAATCATCAATTTTCTTACAGTTATTAATGGTTCAGAAATGTTATCGCTATTATTAACATTCTACAAATATACGAGAGATATACAATGTTTTCAATTACAGCATCTATTGAGAGCCCATATCTACTATTATTGTGAATTATGTATTTTCTAGTAATTGAAAATGTTTCATAAGCAGACAACAATTATACACCCCTTTATCGCTTTACTAATTTATTAAATATCACAATTGAAAACTGGATTAACATGCATGACCAAAACCAGGTTAAGAGGAATGCAATAATTGTGATCAACTTTTAGGTTGGGCCCATTTTTAAATAGACGACGCATAACGATAATAACGATAATTCCAAACAAATATTTAGCAGTTGCATTCGCAAAACCAGCAAAGTCGTCCAGAGAACAGTCAACAAATCCTTTTTTGCTAATCATAATGTATAATTTTAGATTGACATTTTATATTCCTCATTCCCTACAAAACTTACATTTGGTACTTTTTAAATATTTTCATCCGAGAAGTCGTTCCCCTGTGCCAAAGATCTTGACCGTTGTTCACTGTTTATTTATAACGATTGTTAGTGCATGAATGCCTCGACAAACTAACTCCATTTTATAGAATGATTTTGCATAAAATATTATTGAGCATTTTCGAATACTATTTTTATATCATACTATTCGAGTTATTTAATTTTAAGCTAACATAAACGTGACTTTATCATCAAAAGTCTGTCAGATGTTGAAACGATTTTAACTCCTTTTTTAAGTTTTCAAACTTTTTATTTTCACCTTATTTATTAACCTACAGCACAAGGCAATCTTCCCAATCATTTTAACATATCTAATGAACTTGCAACTTTTTACATTAAAATCAATAAACCATTTTAGAGTTGTATCTCTAAAAAAATTATCGATTTTAAATAGAAAAAACTATTGATGATTTCATTTGAATTCGGAAAACACAACGAAATTAATGTTAACTATGTCGCTCTTGGCCTATCACCTTTAGATATTCAGTTTATACAGCGTGGACCACTGATAACGTTCTTCTTAATTTTGTAAGCCTTTGCAGGAAAACATTCAGATTTATTTGATCTTTTTAAGAAAACAAGGGGTGTCGAGTAGCACATTGTTTTAAAATCCGCTAGACCCTTTTAGACCACACCACATTTCAGATATTTCGATTAGTCGTTTTCTGCATCATTTGCCTTCATACTAATTTTATGCGCCCACTTTCAATTTAAATTGAACTATTCCTAGCGTTTTTCAATTATCTCAAACCCTCACAAAATTTTTCGATGGCTCACCCAGTAGATACATTGTTTTTGCTCAGATATAAAATATTCCTTTATTCAACGAACTTCCACTGGTCTTCATTACATCGAACAGTATCGTAGCGAGTATTCATGTCGTTTTCTTCGACCGAAAGATAGATTTAGTTAACTCGCGATCACTGGACAGATGATAACTACTTACATATTCTTGCATTGTAAAAAGAGTGACACCTGTATTCTTCCTCTTATTCATTGTTCTGGGAATCCCTTAATTGGAGTATATTTAACGTCACACTTCATCACCCCATCACCTAGATAAGTCAGTTCCAATCCAGGAGTACTGCGGGTAACATCATGGCGTGTTCGGTTGCTCTCTCAATATATGCAATTAGTGTGATCTTGATAACCATGATAATTTATATTTCGGGAAGACCATCTGGCTCTTGTGACACAAACGCGATTGAGGAACCGGATCCAGATCCAATGCCCTGCGGGCGCCCTCAACCTCGAGCATTTTTATTGAGGGATTTAATCGACGATGCTGTATTGGTGAGTATTCACATTTTATTTAAAAAATTCTTCTTGTGTCACTGATTGTCGGTTCTTGGTTTGAAATTATTTTTGCTATTCACGTCTGGAAAATTGTATATTGTAATGTGGGATTTGCATGAATAAATACAGGAACAAATGCTGGAAAAGGTCTAACAAATACTTACGTCAAAGGTGGCAAATCGAGAATTTTGTTAATTATTTATAAATCGAAGGCTTGAATGCTGAAGGCAAAAATTCATAACCTCTATCACTTTCATGTAAATGGAATAAAGCGACATTAATTCTCACAGTTGCACTTGAATGAAGTAATCTGCAATTAAGCGCCGGAATTTGAAAACATTTTGGAAAAACAGATTTAGGTTTTTAAATTATTTTAAGCACTATTTGATCTACTGAACCCATAGCGCTGAGAAGGCATTAACTCTTAGAACTAGACGGGCACGAAAACATCTAGAAATACTTATGCACTGAATATGGAAGTATAATTTAAAAAATCCCTGATTAGGGCCATTCCAAATTTTCTTCAGTTATAAAGCAACATTTTAGTTACTGAAATCGGCAGCTCCCAACGCTGTAAAACGTAATTTTCAGAACCAGCCGTGCATAAAGAAATCTACCAACAAACGCTGGACATTGAGATATTCTCAAAAAAGCCCTCACGAAAATGGCCATTTGAGACTTTCCTCAGGAG